CAGGCTTGGCCTAGTTAAACTTGGCCTTGGCTTGGCTTGCTTAAACTGGCTTGATTTGACATGACAATGAGTTGGTTTATCATTAGCTTGGCTTAGCTTGACTTATCATTAACTTGTCCTAGCTTTAGCTTGGCTTAGCTTGGTCTTGCCTTGGCCTAGCCTTGGCCTAGCCTGCCTGGCCTGCCTGGCTAGCTCTGGCTAGCTCTGGTTAGTCTTAGGCTAGCTGATGAACTTACCTTTCCATATATGATATACAATTCATATTCACCTAGTTGATGCTCCGATTAACGCCAAATTTCTTTCGTAAAAGTTCCCCAAAACCCAATCATAATACTCATTCACCACTCCAATGCCAGACTTTGGTAAGCGAAAATTCACATAAAGAGAACGAGTTGAGAGTAACTGAAAAAGTAAAAGGGTATGTTTTTATAGAAAAAAAAACGAACACTGGTTATTTTGGTGAATGTTTTCGGAAGCGTTTCCGAATTGAGCTTTCTATTTCCTTTTGGTGAGTCCAAATTGAGTAAAGTTGCTGAAAAATTGGTTCCAATCAAGGGATTCTCGATTTCCGAGAGATCCCAACTCGTCCATTCATCGAATTTCATCAAATAGTTCACCTCGATTTCACCTGAGAATTTGATAAAGAGCTGATGAAAAGCTTTAGCTGATCAAGCTGATCAAGCTGATCAATCAGAACCAGAACCCAAATGATCCAGAACCCAGAACCCAGAACCCAAATGAACCAGAACTCAGAACCCAAATGATCCAGAACCCTGAACCCAAATAAACCAGAACCCAGAACCCAGAACCCAAATGAACCAGAACTCAGAACCCAAATGATCCAGAACCCTGAACCCAGAACCCAAATGAACCAGAACTCAGAACCCAAATGATCCAGAACCCTGAACCCAAATAAACCAGAACCCAGAACCCAGAACCCAAATGATCCAGAACCCAGAACCCGAATGATCCAGAACCCAGAACCCAAATGAACCAGAACCCAGAACCCAGAACCCAAATGATCCAGAACCAGAACCCAAATGAACCAGAACCCAGAACCCAGAACCCAAATGATCCAGAACCAGAACCCAAATGATCCAGAACCAGAACCCAAATGATCCAGAACCCAGAACCCGAATGATCCAGAACCCAGAACCCAAATGATCCAGAACCAGAACCCAAATGAACCAGAACCCAGAACCCAGAACCCAAATGATCCAGAACCAGAACCCAAATGAACCAGAACCCAGAACCCAGAACCCAAATGATCCAGAACCAGAACCCAAATGAACCAGAACCCAGAACCCAGAACCCAAATGATCCAGAACCAGAACCCAAATGATCCAGAACCCAGAACCCGAATGATCCAGAACCCAGAACCCAAATGAACCAGAACCCAGAACCCAGAACCCAAATGATCCAGAACCAGAACCCAAATGAACCAGAACCCAGAACCCAGAACCCAAATGATCCAGAACCAGAACCCAAATGATCCAGAACCAGAACCCAAATGATCCAGAACCCAGAACCCGAATGATCCAGAACCCAGAACCCAAATGAACCAGAACCCAGAACCCAGAACCCAAATGATCCAGAACCAGAACCCAAATGAACCAGAACCCAGAACCCAGAACCCAAATGATCCAGAACCAGAACCCAAATGATCCAGAACCAGAACCCAAATGATCCAGAACCCAGAACCCAAATGATCCAGAACCCAGAACCCAAATGTCAATGCTAACAATGAGGCTGACTCCGAGAATCTGGCTCTGATCTGGCTAAAATTGAGTTTTCTTAGTTTCTAGACATTTCTAGCCATTTCTAGACATTTCTAGCCTTTCAGTACTGTAGATTTCAAGCCTGATCTTTAGAAATGTTTGAATTAAGCTTTCTAGAACCAAGCCAGGATAGCTACACTACTGGACAATGAAATATCATATTTGAAAAAGATCAGTCACTTTCGCCGTCTGTAACTCCCTTGTCTTTACCGTATTTGTAAATATTAATATTACCATTGTGTAGCCCTTGAAAAGAGCTTTCAGAAAATGTATAACATTAATAGTTTAAACTCAAAGACAAGGGAGTTACAGACGCGCGAAAGTGGGCCAGGGCCCCCCACTCTGGGGCCCTGGTCTGGCCCGGATCGGGTTTAGATCGTTTTTCAAGTATGATATTTCATTGTCCAGTACTGTAGATAAGTTTTATGATCAAAATAATAGTAAAAGGGATTTCTTGGCTTACCTACAAGTCTTAGGAATTGATCAGAAACCCCCAATCAAACCAAATCAAACCAAATCAAGCCAAACCAAATCCCCAATCACAAACCTCTCATCCCATCAACAATATCGCTTCCGAATGGCACAAAAATCACCCATTTTAAGCAATTTAGATAATTGATAAAGCTCCCAAAAGTATTTGATGAAGAAATAAGTAGACATAGACTGAAGATTTTCATATGATATACTTTAAGCGCTTGTAAAAAACTCATTTCTCTGCGCGGGGCATGGATGAAAGGTGAGCCCGTGGCTGGCTTTCTGTGCATCGGCTCGCGTGCATTTCGAGGTTGGTGAGGCTAAAGTTGAGGGGTACGCATGAACTCACGTAGATGCGTGAGTACGGTCATTTTTGAGCTGTACTTTGTGCTTGATTTCCTAGCCACGCTCTTTCTATACACTCTGGGGCCCTGGCCTGGCCCGGATCGGGTTTAGAAACGGGCCAGGCCTAAACAAGTTTGGCTTAGGCCAGGCTAGATCCGGTTTAAGCCATGCTTAGTAAAAACCAAGCCAGAGCCAGGACAGGTTTGGACCTAGCCTGGTCCGGACCTAGCCAGGGCCAGGACAAGTTTGGACCTAGCCTGGTCCGGACCTAGCCAGGGCCAGGACAGGTTTGGACCTAGCCAGAGCAAGAACAGGTTTGGACCACGCCTGGTCCGGACCTAGCCAGGGTCAGAACAGGTTTGGACGAAGCCTGGTCCGGACCTAGCCAGGACCAGGACCTAGCCAGGGTCAGGACAGGTTTGGACCAAGCCTAGTCCGGACTTAGCCAGGACCAGGACCTAACCAGGACCAGGACCTAGCCAGGACCAGGACCTAGCCAGGGTCAGGACAGGTTTGGACGAAGCCTGGTCCGGACCTAGCCAGGACCAGGACCTAGCCAGGGTCAGGACAGGTTTGGACCAAGCCTAGTCCGGACTTAGCCAGGACCAGGACCTAACCAGGACCAGGACCTAGCCAGGACCAGGACCAGGACCTAGCCAGGACCAGGACCAGGACCTAGCCAGGACCAGGACCTAGCCAGGACCAGGACCTAGCCAGGACCAGGACCTAACCAGGACCAGGACCTAGCCGGGACCAGGACCTAGCCAGGGTCAGGACAGGTTTGGACCAAGCCTGGTCCGGACTTAGCCAGGGCCAGGACAGGTTCGGACCAAGCCTGGTTGGGGCCTAGCCAGGGCCAGCCTCGAACCAAGTTAGATCCAAGTTATCGTTTGGCAAGAGCACAAAGCGAATTGAACTCAAGCTGGACTTGTAACTAAAATATCTGTTGGTCCTTTTTTGCGGTTGGCAATTTAAGGTTTTTCCTGTTTTTCTCAGCAAAAACCCTTCGATTTTTAATCTTTTGACTACCATTCGATGCAGAATAAAATCGCGCGTTGAAAGGTACCGAAATCTTAGCCTTTTGCCTCATAACTTTACATGGATATTATATTTTGAGTTGATTTTGTTATGATTCGATGCGCAATTTTATTCTGCATCGAATGATAGTTAAAATAGTTAAAATCGAAGGTTTTGTGCTAAGAAAAAAAACCTTAAATTTGGATCGCCAGTGCTCCCCAGTGCCCCCAGTGATCCCCATTTAAGAAAAACCTTAAATTGCTAACGGCAAAAGAGGACCGAGAGAGGTTTTCGTTTGAAAGTCTACTACAAACGCTTCTAATTTGCTTTAAATCTACTGGATTGTGATGATCTATAGCTCAAAAGATAGAGAATCTCAAGAGCTTTCGAATGAGCTAAAGCCCACTGAAAAACATCATTGCTAAAGAAAGGTATAGTGGTTTGAAGTCTGACGGTACGGTCTGACGGTAATCTGGCGAGTACGGTCCATCATATCATATACCCATATATTAGAGAGCATAAAGAAGTAACCTTAGATTGCTAACGGAACCAATAGATCTTTTCATTTGTCTAATTCAAGCCATCAACAATATCGCTCCCCGCGCCAACAATATCAACAATATTGCTCCCCGCGATCGTTTTCTTGTCGAATTAATCGATTAAAGTTGAACGATTAAAGTTGAACGATTTTTAAGCGATTAATCGTCAATTAAAGAGAAAATTTGAGGAAAACGACGGCTGAATTTAATTTTGCCCACATGGATCGCCTAAGCCTATTTTGCCCACATGGATCGCTTACGCCTATTTTGCCCACATGGATTGCCTACGCCTATTTTGCCCACATGGATTGCCTACGCCTATTTTGCCCACATGGATCGCTTACGCCTATTTTGCCCACATGGATTGCCTAAGCCTATTTTGCCCACATGGATCGCTTACGCCTATTTTGCCCACATGGATTGCCTAAGCCTATTTTGCCCACATGGATCGCTTACGCCTATTTTGCCCACATGGATCGCTTACGCCTATTTTGCCCACATGGATTGCCTACGCCTATTTTGCCCACATGGATTGCCTACGCCTATTTTGCCCACATGGATTGCCTACGCCTATTTTGCCCACATGGATCGCTTACGCCTATTTTGCCTACTCCCCAGTGACACAAAAATCACCCGAGCAATTTCAATTTCAATTCAATAATGTTTTTTTTGATCAATGATCAATAAAAATCGAATCCGAACAGGCTATTAATTAGCTGAATATTTTAGAAACCTAGCAATTCATTGAGTCGTGTCCTTGCCGAAGCCTCATCCAGAAAAAGCGGCGGTTTTTCGATATTCACTTGGGTCCAATTGAGAAAAAGTGTCGCATTTTCTTGTTTATGGAGTCTAAATCAAAGTGAGCATTCAAATAATTGCTAATCTGTAATTGCTAATCAAATAATCTGTTGTAGAATCTGATTTGCACCGTAAAATTCACCTCTCAAAAGCCGACGAATAAAAATGGTAGACTCGGAGCAGAAAAATGCCGAAAATGACGAAAAAAAGGCAACGAAGAAAGCAGAGACTGTTGCAGAAATAGAAATACATTCAATGGAAATCAGGTTGAATATCTATTAGTTGAATATCTCAGATTTATGGCATTGAGGTTGAGATTGAGTGAACACAAGTAATCAATAGCCGTCACCGCCTCTCTTTTGGGGTTTTCCCCCCATTCACCTTGAATGACCTTCTTCTCTTTATGCAACCAATCTCTAAGAAAACATTAAAGTTCGGAGTAAAGTGTGTTCCTCGTATACGTTTGGAGTGGCCCCCTCCCCTCTTGATCCGAAAAGTGCCCCCAGTGCCCCCAGTGCTCCCAGTGCTCCCCAGTGCTCCCAGTGCTCTCCAGTGCTCCCAGTGCTCTCCAGTGCTCCCAGTGCTCTCCAGTGCTCCCAGTGCTCTCCAGTGCTCCCAGTGCTCTCCAGTGCTCCCAGTGCTCTCCAGTGCTCCCAGTGCTCTCCAGTGCTCCCAGTGCTCTCCAGTGCTCCCAGTGCTCTCCAGTGCTCCCAGTGCTCTCCAGTGCTCCCAGTGCTCTCCAGTGCTCCCAGTGCTCTCCAGTGCTCCCAGTGCTCTCCAGTGCTCCCAGTGCTCTCCAGTGCTCCCAGTGCTCTCCAGTGCTCCCAGTGCTCTCCAGTGCTCCCAGTGCTCTCCAGTGCTCCCAGTGCTCTCCAGTGCTCCCAGTGCTCTCCAGTGCTCCCAGTGCTCTCCAGTGCTCCCAGTGCTCTCCAGTGCTCCCAGTGCTCTCCAGTGCTCCCAGTGCTCTCCAGTGCTCCCAGTGCTCTCCAGTGCTCCCAGTGCTCTCCAGTGCTCCCCAGTGCCTCTTTGTGCGTCTGTGTAATCGGTCGGCGTCTGGCGCAGGGCTTTTAGAGAAGACAGGCACTTTGCCCTTCTCAGGGCTTCACTTTCCCCTCCTCAGGACTTCACTTTCCCCTTTTCCGTAAGCGCTTCACTTTCCCATTTTCCGTCCCAATCCAATTCTTTTCGTGAAATTGCGGCTGAGATTGGATACTCTCACGTTGAAAGCACCTCCCTACTATGGAATTTTCTTTAAATGGAATTTTCAGAATTTACGGGCAATGGGTACCCCACAACCTCAGTGACCTCATGAAAGGGCAGAGGTCATCAGTTGCCGCTGCCCTTCTTTCCGGATACGATAGGAAATCTTTCTTGCAGCGTGTAGTGACGGGAGATGAAAAGTGGATTATGACGGCAAACTTTCAAAGAAAACGACAATGGGTGGGAGCTGGAGTTACACCAGCAAAGTGCTCCAGAAGGAGACTCCACCAGAAGAAGTACATGCTATCGGTTTGGTGGGATCTCTTAGGTGTCATTCATTGGGAGCTTCTCGACAATAAGCAGACAATCAATGCTCTATTATACAGTGACCAGCTCAAAAAAAAGTCGATGAGAAAATCGAGGAAAAGCGCTCCAATTTGAAAAAGGTCATTCTCCAACACGACAACGCCAGTTGATCGACATATTCTCTTGCATACGGCAAAGTTGATCCGCTTCAAAATCCACAGCCTGGGCTGAGAAGTTTTACCTTATCCACCATATTCTCTTGACCTCAGTCCTACAGATTATCATCTTTTCCAATCAACATTCCCTGGATGGGAAACATTTTGGATGGGAGCAACAGAAACGAAGACGACCTCAAAAAGTAGCTCCAAGACTATTTTGACTCAAAACCAAACATTTTCTATGAAATTTCTAGAACCCGCCAATTGCCAAAAATTGCCAAAAATCAGTGAAAATCATCGCAAATAATGAAGACTATTTCGATTAAACTGCTCTTTTGGTTCTCAATCAATATTGTTTTGAATTTGGGGTCAATACATAATTTAAAACCCAATATCCCAACTGTCCCTCTCCATTTGAAGCTCACTTTGTTTAGCAAAAGAAAAAGCATTCCATTCTAACGGGTACAGAAGAGATGAAACCCTACAAAAATTTGAGCTCTCCGAGAGGAGAGGGAAACCTTTCAATTCCTTTTTTCATTCCGAGACAACATCTCAAATACATCCAGAATTACGTTTTTACCAATTGGGCTATACATTTTTGTCTTTCAAAACATTGACAATTGTATTCTTGAACTCTTGTGCAGCGATCGATTGCCTAATGCACATCCGCCGAACGTAATGGCCAACAGAATTTTGCACTCGATGCAGAGAATTCTGCTGATTCCGAATCTAAAAGAGATTTTGAAATCCGTCTTACAGATTTTTTTAAAGTACGTCTTACAGACAAAAATTCTTACATTCTTCTTAGATTTCTTAGAGTTTAGTGGAAAAAAAAATCGTCATTTACAATGGAAACGGCTAAAATTGGCTCCTCAAAAGCCGAATTCTTGATGCCATAAGCAAACTTTTTAATTCTATTGGGTTGGTGAATTGAAAAGTGCCGGGCTTTGAACTAAAATTTATTCAACATAAAACCATCAATTCATTCCAAATAATTTCCATTATTATTGACGACTTCTGCCCATTTTACAGGCAATTTGCGGATTCCTCTTTCGTAGTAGGATTTTGGTTTGTGTGTGAAACAAGTGAGACTCAAAAATGGAGGACTGGAGATGTCTCAGTTTGGGCACTTTCTTCAAAGAAACCCATTTTGGTGTCAATAGAAAAGTTGTAGAGAATCAAAAATTAGGCTTATAGCCAAATTTCCAAAAAGATACACTTAGTAGTTTCCCCTAAAATCCAAGTTTTGTGAAAATTCGTAAATTTGGCATTTCTTGAAAACCAGTTTTTGAATCGTTCTGAAAATCTGGATATAAGCTTCATTTTTGATTCTCTACAACTTTTCCATTGACACCAAAATGGGTTTCTTTTGAAGAAAGTGCTCAAACTGTCACATATGACAATCACCCGCAGTTTTCAATTCACCAACCCAATAAAATGACAAAGATTTAAGTTGTTCAATATGCGATCTTCCTAAGGCGCAGTGAATTGTTTTTCCTAATTGATGTTGTCGATCGTTTTTTGGTCCATCCCAAATCCGCAAATCCGGTGTCCGCCAACTCACAAGTGGTAAGGGTTGGATTGAGTTCGATGGCATCAAGCAAATCCGCATCTGAAATCTCTTGCGGTCGTCCAGACCGTTCCTCGTCTTGGAGACTTTCATTTCCATCTTTTAACCGCTGAAACCATATTTGGCATTGTCTTTCGCTAATGCTGTCTTCCCCAAAAACTTCAATGTTCTCAAACTTTGACATATGACAATAGCCGGCAGTTTTCAATTCACCAACCCAATAAATTAAAAATAATAATTAAAAAAGTAATTAAACAAATTGCGTTTAATTTCATTTTACTTTAAATCAATTTAAAGGAATTCTCTCTTGAAATAATAAAATTCTGACGACAGATGCCTTTCGGACCGTCCACCGTACACTTTGCCTTTCAGACGTTTCCGCGCCAAACGTCGGAAACTACCGTAGCCCGACGCAATAAAACGACCCGGCCAAAAAGAATTTTTCAGCCTTTGTCGTGTTTTATTTTTTCAGTCTTTTTTTCCATTGAGACCAAAATGGGTTTCTTTTGAAGGAGGTGCTCAAACTGCGACATATGGTAATAGCCCGCAGTTTTCAATTCACCAACCCAATAGTAACTTTTATCAAAAAGACAGGTAGAACGAAAAAAGCAAAAGATTGTTTAAGAAAAACGCTCAATATCAAACGCCAAAAACGTTGGCAAAAGAAGAACGCCGATTTTCCAGGCCTAGATCTAGCCAAAGCCATGGTTTAGTCTTCTAAACTTTAAAAAATTGGCTCTAATTTCTCGAGTGTTCTCCAATACAATGAAATGAAAAGATGACTTCATTTCGGTGAAAATCGAGGCACACACATCGGATTAGCTTGGCCATCGCACACCGATCCGCAATTAGAATCACGATTGAGGAGGGGAGAAAGGGGAGACAATACCCCGTATCCTAGCTGCCCTCCTTCTTCTCTTCTTCACTTTTCTCTAGAGATACCCGGGATTTCAATTCCCCTATCTATACTCGAATATTTCTTCACTAATTGCTTCCACTTGATTCCCCTATGCTTCCACTTGATTCCCCATTTCGCTAGAGCCATTTTGAATCTAGAAATCCCTTCTTCACTTCATTGAGTCGAATTTGTCAGCCTTGTTTTTCAGAAAAGTTTTCCATTCTTCCAGTTTTTCAATTTTTTCATCAATTGCTAAATTTAACAAAAATAGCCTTAGATTTAGATTTTCTTCCTTTTTCTTATATATTTTATGAATTATAAAAGAATTTCTTTATAAATACTCAGAAATGGAACGCGAACATGTGAGCATTTTGATGTGTCGAAAGTTGTGCGGCTGTAAATCGACTCGAATCGATGATGAGGCGGAAAAAGTTGGCAACGAGGTGAGCATAAATTGGAATTAAGTACTTTTTGTGCTAAACACACCCTTTCTAGTGCAGTGAGCTAAATCAAGAAAAATTAGGAACTCAGTGCACCAGAAGTGCGTTTACAAGAGAGCACAAAGTACAATGAATCTCGTTGCAGCCAAGTTCCTCATATCCTTCTGCGGAAACCTCATCCGTCAGTCATTCACCCACGAAAGACTCCTCGACTCCGATTTGTGTCATCATCGCCTCACCGCGAATTCTTTCTCGTGGCATTCTCGGTGTTCTCATTTCGAATCTTGAAGAGAAATCCCTGCGTACACTCGATCTTTCACTCGTTTTCCCATCATCCGAACAGTTGAAGGTGTTGAAGTACCGTAATCCTAGAATTCTAAAAAATTATCGTAATCCAAACGCCATTTTTCATTTGATCAATCAAATCTTGATGTCATTCGATGATCAATCAATGATCAATCAATGATCATTTAATGATCGTCAATGATCGAATGATACAAGAGTCAGTCAATGACTCCAAAATTGTTCTGATCAAATGTAAACTGGCAGTTTGACTACTGTAGTTGAAAAACTACTGTAACTTACAGTAGTTTTTCGAGATATGTGTCTTTTAGAAAACACGACGCATTAGCTACCGTATATCTACAAATTTCTAGACACTAAACGGTCGAAAGTTCGGCCCGTCAACGTTTCCAGTCTCGGTCTCAGCCTGGACGGGGATTCAAGTTTACGATCGAGTTCGACAAGCCACAAATGATTTCATTCAGCGTTTCGCTTTAGAGAAAGGTTGGTGCTAATTATTAGCTGACCCATAAACCTTAAACATTTCAGCCGACATCTACTCAAGTGATAACAAAAGCCGTGGAAAACGTGACTACTTTCAGACGTGGTTCCCGTGAGTTTTAAAACTAAAAAGCTACAAGACATACGGTAAATACTGTAATAGTACCCCACCACCATAATGACGGTGCGGAGTGTTGCGTAGTCCAGCTTTGAACGAGTTTTTCTCGACACTGGTTTACGCTACAATGTGCGCTTAGGTATCAAAAAATAGCCCTGAATTTCAGCTATTTTTTGATACCAAAGACGCATTTTTTGAAAGTACGGGAGCTTAGAAAAAAATGAAATACCAAAAAAAACTTTTGCGACTACGCGACTGTACGAGGGCGGTGGGGTACCATTACAGTATTTACGGTAGTAGTAAAATAATCCATTTACAGTATAGACTATACAGCCGTGTAGAGTATACAATCATTGCCAAGTACGGTAAAGAAATTTTTAGCTCAAATCCCACAATCACCACTCAACCCGTTGCCGGATTGGCATCGATCGTGGAGATAAAAGTGCCGATTTCGAATAATGACGGTATTTTAAGCTTTTTTCAGCTTTTATTGCTTTGGAAAACTTAAAAGTTTCAAAATTTGATCGAATTTTCGTTTTTTCAGAGGGTCTCTTGATCAAAACGAACTCGATGGACAAAGAAATGGATGATGATCGAAAAATAGTAGAGGTAACAGTGAAAAAAAGCTTTAAAATCAATCTCTAAATTTTTCAGGAGACCGGTAAAGAGGATGAGCTTGTCGAGGATCTTGGCGAGGCCTATCCAGAGGTAACTTATAGCTTACAAAGCACTTACAAAGCACTTACAAAACACAAGTTTAATGAAATCGATCGTTTATCTTCAGACATCTCTCCGGGATTTCTCTTTCTTTTGTGTTCTTTTGTGCTGTTGTCACTTTTCTGCTCTTCGCCGCATTTTTTCGGACTTCTCCTAAAAGAAATTGTTGAAGAGTGTAACAAGACAAACCATTGCTTTAAACACCAATTAAGAATGAAACTGAAGCTTAAGTAACGAATCTAGAATGGATTAAAACGCATCGAATAGCATCAGACATAGCTGAAAATTTCTAAGCAGGGTTTTCGGGGTTCTAAGCAGGGTTCATAATCCAAATCCGACATCATTTTTTCAATAATTTAGCTCTTTTGCCAACAAAAACAATGAGCGAAACATCAAAAAATGTTCTTGTACTATTAAAGTCATTAAAGAGGTACCATTAAAGCCATTAAAGAGGTACCATTAAAGCCATTAAAGAGGTACTCCGGCCCAAGAAAAGTCAGTATTAAATTCGACACCTGTTTTTCAAGTCTTTTTAATTCTGATTTACAACTTTTAAAAATTATTCTTTTAGAATGTAATGTTTTCTACTAAAAAAACAAAACAATATTTAGGATTGCTGTTAAATTTGAGAAAGTACATGCAAAAGAAAAGGATGTAAGTGCTAAAATGCAATTGGACGGAACCTTTATATACTTTTCGGCCAAATATCCACGTTTTAGGGTGGGGCGGAAAGCAAAAATCGCGTTTTTCTTCATTTCTCGATCGAAAACCGCGTTTTTCATATAGGAAATAGTTGCAGAGGAGATTAAAACGCATCGAATAATATATAAATGAACGCGATTCTTGAAAGTCAACTTTTAGGCTGTTTAAACAAGTTTTTTTGTGTACATGGAATAGAATCAGCTGATTTATTCAAATTCCTCAAAAAAAAAACAACTAACCTCGCTAGATTTCCCCGTAGTCGGCCTCGGCCTCAGCCTCGTAGTCGGGCACGGTGTTCCTGAACTCGCGCAACGAATCATCAGCACAGCTGCTCTTCATAATCGGCCCAGCTTTCGACTAAAAATGAAAAATTGCCCTTTGCTCAATGCTCAATGCTTCAGCAGTGATAACTTTATGTTACTCTTATTCCAAAAGCCACAAAAAGCTCACCTTTGGCTCTATCACTTCATTCTAAAAAACTTCTTCCTCAACATTTGTTTTCTTTCTTCTTGTCCCCGCTCACAAGTGGTATCTAAAAGCAACAAAAACTTGAACGAACAAAAACTTATCAACTAACTTTTTCTTTCTCTTTCGCTGACGTTTTTTGCGAATCCTTTGGTTTCCCCGAGAGTTTTTTGCGAGGCAAATCGTCTAAAACATTAACTTAAAGAATAAATTTTGTCAAATAACACAAAAACTAACCAGCTTTCTTCTGATTAACATCAAGAGGCGTTTGCTCGGTTTGCTTGAAGCTTGGACCTTCAGAAGTGATCTAGAAAAGAAAAAGATTAATGCTGCAACTATTCTGCTTTAACATAAACCTTTTATAATTCATACGCAATGTCTTTCGCCTCTTTCAAATGCTCATAAGTATATTTACGAGTCATAAAATCGTTACCGAACGAACGCGAGCCGGTGGCTTGTGAACTTCAACGCTTCGCTGAATCTCGATCCTTTGCGAGTTGCACTAAACAGTAAACCATTATAAAAGCTAATAAATTAAGCAATTATGAGATTAAAACAAGGATTCTAGCGCTGATTACTAAAAATTGAGCTCATTTTGTTTCATTTGAAAGAAAACTAATAATTTAGTGCTTTAGATTAAAACTCTTAAAAAGCCTGAACCAAAAATAAGAATAAAAACAACGAACCTTTCTCAAAACGATCCCCGGCGGATTGTCGGATCTTTGCTTCGGATCCAATGCAGTTTTATTGGCTCGAACATTGGACCGCTTCCTTTTGGTACACATTTTAAGCCATGCAACCACAAAAAGTAAAAATCAAACAGGAAACGGGCAAAATTTGAATAAAATTCATAAACAAACCCACCTTCAAATCAGCGCTAATATAAAATGAATTTTGTGCTCACAAAAAAATTGTTTTAAACAACGCTCAAATGTTAATTAGTTCTTGATTTATGCAAATTTGACTACTTTGAAATTCAAATGTTCTAACCAGCCTATCTTTCAGGAACTTCCCGAGGCCTCTGATGTGGAAAAAGAAGAGAAAGAAGTAAAAGAAGAAAAACCATAAAATTTCGTGACTTTTTCTCTTCGTTTATTGGTCCAAACAATGGTCACAATTTGAAAATGTTCGATAACAATTCTCAAAAAAAATGTACAAATGATATGATATAAATTTCCTCAAACAAATGACTATATCGATAAAGGATTTTAATAAAGACCAGATCTCAAAAAACATTACAACAAAAATCGACGTGCAATTCAAGAATTAGGTATCTAGAAAACCGGTATTTATTTATTACGGTATTTTTCGATTCCCTTCGGGCTCATCACGCAAATGTGGTTGAGGTCGCGGAATTTCTGATTGTAGTCCAAACCTAGAAGAAAATATTGAGTCAATGCATATGAAATGGCCAAATTTTTCCAGATTTCCCCAACCAATCACCAGATTTCAAAAAGTTCTTTTATGATTTGTTGCTAGTGAAAATTTATGCAATAATCACCTTTTCGACCAAAGATTCCAGCTGTGGAACAAACTATTTCAAGCAATCATGATTTTCATGAGCGTTTTCAATAAAAAACTAATTCATTAAGAAATCCCAGGCTTTATCGCTTCAACTTATTTTCAAAACTCAAAAAACATACATATTGATAAAAACTCACTGAAATCTTTGAATAGAACCAAGTTGATTAAAAAATATCGAACTAATAGAACTTTGGCTCAAAAGAACATCAAAGTTGAGTTGACTTCAATGATCGAAAAGTTTCTCCATCATTTCATGTCAAATAAAAAAGTTGTCAGACTGTTATTAGCTTAAGATTCTAACTTTACATTCTAACCAAACAGAAATTAGATAACTACTCTGGTAGAGAAATTTACATGGATTAGCCATTTCATATGCATTGACCCAATAGAAACCAGAGCAAATCTTCAGTTGAATAACTGAGTCGAAGTTGTTTTTGAATAAAGACAACTAACAAACGAACCGTAGCCGACTATGAATTTGTCCGGGATTCGAAACGCGACAAAGTCCTCTTTCACATCAACCTAAATTTTGTCAATAATAAAAGTAGCATGCTTTACTTATAACCTTATTAACTGCGTCATATAACTAAATTTACCTTTCTCGGGACATTTTTGCTCAACAAGGTCGTCGTCCAAGTTTTTTGTGCCTGAAAATTACCGGACTCGGAACGCTTTCTAAAAGACAACTCTGCTACCGCAGTCTGCAGGCGCTAATTGCACTTCATTAATTTCTATCTTCTATGTTCTATATATGTTTCTTGACTGACTCACGCCCAATTCCTCGAGAGTGTGAAGCAGCCGAGCCAACGTTTGCCCCGAGTCGACAATGTCTTCAACTATCTGAAAAAGTTCATTACAAAAATATAACTAACGATCAAAGAAACTCACCAATACGTTCTTTCCTTTGAGCTCTTGAAGGTTGCTGAGTCCGATGATTTGAATCATACCTAAACATGAGACGGTAAAGATAATCAAAAAAATAGCTAAATTTTTTAGCCCAAAACTTAAAGGCCACCTGTCGATTGTGTATCCTCATAGCTCTGACATCTGATAAAGTCAACGGTCATGGGTTGAGTGCATGAGGAGCGAGCGTACGCCAACTCGTCAACCTAAAATAAAAAAAAGAATTATTTGCATTTTTACATGTTATGGATTAAACCAAAAACTGACCAATGCTGTGAAAAATTTGTAGCTTCCTTTGAGCACACAGAGTAAGCTCAGCTCGTTGTCTCCAATTCTGAGAGAAATTTAGATTAACATTTTGTACAAAACTTTTATTACCACTAAATATTGAAAACTTACTTTGCGTGTATATCCTTAGCAAGTCTCCTCACACGATCCTTGATCATTCCTTCTGGTACAATCACCGCTCCCAGATCTCCTTCGTAGCAATGCGGGATATCGAACGCATCAACCGGAAGCTAAAATAATCAAGGTTTATGTCGCAAATAATACTTTGAAACTTTCAAAATAGATTTGCTGATTAAACAATTGGAATTTTTAAAAATTTTACCTCAAAGTCCGGAGGAATCACAGCATCCGCGGCGGCCATGTGCTAAAGAAAAAAATTTATTTGATAAACAATACTAAACCTGTTCGTAATATGAAAGCTCTTTAAAAAATGATTCTTTGGGGTCACTTAGGCCATTTTTCTCTGAAAAAGATACACACAATTGATAAGGGAAATTCTCGGCCGAAACAGCGACGGCCGATCAGCGATTATTCACGTGTTTCCTATTTCAATGAAATTTTAAAATTTTGCTCTTGGACGTTTTTGTATCATTATGCAACAAGAGACAAAATTTCATAAAAAAATTAAAAACTGATCATGCCTTGCACAAGTGCCCATTGCTCGCCATTTCACCGTTGCCTCTAAAAATGGTCGTTTAAAATGCTGAACGAAGTCTGTTTACTCAACAATGAAGTGCGAATAACCTTTAAGCCAAGAAAGAATTTGAATAAAAGTTTATAACCATAAAAAATCAACAAATTTAACAACGCTATAACAAAACATTCAAAAAATTGGAAAATTCCTGACTGAAACCGATCAACTCAACAAAAGATAACAATGGGGAAAAGACGGGGATTAAGCTATCAGAGAACGTCCGAAAATTCACGAAGCACAAAAAAGTGAAATCTAAAATCATTCGCAACAGTCGATTCTCAATCGAAAAAAGGTTGACAAGTAGACCCGAGAGAGAGCCGATTAAGTGGAAGTGAGAGCAAATATGAAAACGGCTTATAAAAACTCTCAAAAAGTCAACGAACAAATTTTAAAAAAGTGACAGTAAAGAAGGAACAATAAAAGTACGATCACTTCAATCCCAAAAGCTGTCCTCGTTGATTAGATTTGAGTTCTCTTTCCTCCCACGATTCACCTAAATAAGCTGACTTAGAGGTATTAAACCAAAACACACCGCAGATTGACGACCCTTGACCTTCAGACGAACTTTCTCCTTATTTCGCTTTGCTTCCAATGCTACTCTTCTTTTGATTTCATCTGGGGGAATTGATGTAGACGTCGAGCGCACAGATCTAAAAGCCATGTTTCAAGTTTGATCCCAAAGCGTGCTTACTTTGTTCCAGTCTTAATCTTTTTAGTTTGTCGCTTTGCATTGTCCTCTTGTGCATCACCACCGATTTCTCGTTCAATCGCCTCCAATTCCTCTTGATCAGCTTCTTCTCGTGCCTTGATGTACGCCTCACGATCTCTAAACTTTCATAATTAACCCAATCAACCGAACTCTACTATTTAAAGTTATTTAAAAATTACCTTCTTGCTTCTTCCGCAGCTTGAACTATCCTTGGATGGTCAACTAAGTTGTGCTCTTCGCCTCCCTCTTGTTCGCAAATCTCATCTAGCTGCGACGTGGCATCTTTAAGCCAAGAATCGAATCGTGACGATTTATTGAGCTCTTGTTCCTGAAAATTTAAAATAAACATCATAGGCAGTAACCCAAACAACCTTTTTCTTATTCTCCTGTTCCTCAGCTACTTGCTCTTCTTTGTCGATATCATCGGCTTCATCCTCATCCTCTTCTTCGACCTCGCTCAATTCGCTGCCCCACTCCACTTCTTCCTCATCTCCATTGCCAGACTCATCCGAACTCGTGGCCTCTTTATTTTGTTCTTCATGCATCAGGAAGTTTCCTTCATCGTACGCCTTAAATATTCTTTGCTTAAACTGACGAAATACAAACTGACTTTATTCAGATCTTCGGCCATCTTCTTCGTGAAACCACTAGCTTCTAGTTGAACATCGAGGTTGAATTTTCTTGTCATATCCTCAAACTTCGGATATTCATCGCACAAGTAGTTGAATTTGCGCCTATAAAGATCAAACGTGTAGAAACAAAAAAAAATGACAAACTTGAATAAAGTTCGAACACATTCCACATCCCGATCGAAATAGTACTTTGCGTTGGTATGATCCATGCTCACCATCTGTGGGAAATCGATCAGCACAACTTTCTCCTTCTATAAAGCAGTTTTTCTTAATTTAACAAAAATAGTATACCTCAACAAGCATAACATTGAATTCATTAAAATCTCCATGAATGAGTCCATATCGAGCTAATTTGACGATCAAGCACATTAACCTAAATAAATGCGTAGAGCTTTTTCAAATTTTAGGATTTTAATTTTTTTAGCAATGACTAACCTGTCGTACAAAGCACCGGGATCTTCAATTTTATCGACATGACAAAGGGTCATACCCCTCAACAAGTCCCATCACAACAAGATGTCGGCAAACATCAACCGGTCTTGGTACTGGAAAGCCTGCCTCAGCTAGAGCCTAAATATCACATGTTAGCGATCAAAGTACTAGTACAAACCTTCAAAAACGCAAACTCCTTTGAAGCCGCAAGTCGACTCAAATATAGCCAGCTGGCAGATTTCCTCTTCTTATGGTAATCACGTTTCTCTTTGATTTTTCGAAAAGACGTTCGGCCGAGGCGGTGAAATTTCAGGCACAAATCCTAAAACGGTTGTGGTTTTGATATATCAACGAAAAACACTAACATTTAGTTCTGGGTCGCCTCCGACGTAAACATCAGATTCTTTTCCCACTCCAATTTGATTTCCTACGGAACTAAACCGATTCTTAAACTATTAAAATACAAATCAACAAACCCGACGACTTCCCGCGAGCACAAAGCTTTCAAAGCAAGATAATCATAGCCAAGTTTCGTCAAACGATATCCATCATCTAAAATAAAACAAACAAAGTAATGGTCAGGTCAGAACACGCACATTTCCGTCCACGTTCATAAGCAACGAGCCCGATTTTCATCAAGTCAGCGAGACTTTTCGTGACGCCACCTCGATGAATCTTTGCGACAGAAGAGATGAGAGGAAGCGGAACCAACTCGTGATTCTTCATGCCCATTTCAACCTGAAAAACAAAGTTCATAGAGTTGCATAACGGTATACGATTTAGATATTCGTTTACCACTTCCCCTGATTTGACGTTAAGAACCCTGCCGATAAACTTTCAGACTAGCCTAATGCAAATGAACCCTCAATCGCTAGTATTTGAAGCTCGATCACCAAGACGTTCATTTGGTTTTATTTGCTTATTAATTTTTATGAAAAGCCTACCGCTAGCAATATCCTGAAGTGTTCTCCTTCAAGATACCGCATTTTCGACACGTCCATACGCCCCATTTCTGCTTTCTAAAACATTAGTCTTGGTTCAACACCCATCAAAGCTTAGATTGGTAAACAATTGTTGTAATAAGCATTTTTAACTGACTCACTGAACAATTTTTAAATGAATTTATTTTAGTCCACAATGAGAAGCACAAAACATCACCAAATATAACCCAAAACACTTTGATAGTGAAAGACAAACATAGGAATCGTTTTTTTATTTAATTGGGCTTATGCAACGACTGAAAACGTGCTTTTGAACCTAGGCATGTAGCTATAAAGTTTGTGCAATTGGAATACCTATTAGAAGAATTAACAATTAAAAAATCGAATAAGAGCGATACAAACAATAGAACACTGTGTTGATAGATAATGTTTTAATAATTTCCACGACTGCGCTTGGGTGGTGGAGGGCTTTGACCAGCTTCAAGGACGCGTTCGAGGACCTCAGCAGCCAAACGAGGAGAATCTTCCTAAAATAAACACTTTCATTTGAATGAAGATTTCTTAACAAGCCGGGTTTAATAGATTGCAAAACTATTTTATTGCTTATGATTTATGCTTCATCTTTAATTCGGATTCTTTCAAGTTTTGCTTTATAAATTCACCCTGAATCGTCGCCACATATCGGTCCTAGTAATGCCAGATTTGTTTGTGGAAACCTAAATCATTTTCTGCTATTGCAAAGAAATAAATGAAACTTACAACATCCAAACAATGAGCGTAGAGCGAATGCGCGTTGTGAAGATCGGCCAGTGAAAGAATATCGCAAACATTGTCCCGTGATGTTCTAAATCAGTGATAAGTTTGACAGTAAAGCAGCGACTTACGCATTGATCAACTGTTGCTCGCAAACACACTTTAAGTCAGAAATATCGTACTTCTCGGCTAATATCATCACCTAAAAGAAGCAATAAATTTCTTTAATAAACAAGGACAAACATTGACATAATTTTCCCAGGCCGTCTCGGACATGATTCGACCGCAGTAGATATACTCAAGCATCAACTTCACCGCCAACGGATCACCCTCCATTTTAAGCACGCGATCCTAAAATGATAATTAAATCAGAATATTAATTTTGAACATTCGTTTTGTTTTGAAGTTTTGAACATTTGTTATGGGGCAATAGTTTTTAATGGGTAGTAAATTTCCAGTAGACATCTTCACATTTCTAACACCAATCATAAAACTTGCTCACCTTTGATTCGGCCACATTGCCGTGAGAAAGCATAGCCCGGAAAACGGATGAATGAGCTCTGAGCTTGTGGGAATGAACGAGAAACTCTTGATTTTCAACAAGTACAATGAAATCCGAGCCTTCGCCACTGTGAAGCAAGTCGAGTTCTAAATTAAAAACAATCCAGGTAACAAACAGTTTATGAAAACAACCTTCTCGGATATGCGACGCACTGATTTCCTCCGTTGTCCACAAAGGGTTGACTGTTGCTCGCTTGCAAATCTAAACGAATAGCAGTTAGGAAAATAATGTTTTAACTTACAATTCGACTAATGTCAGGCATCAGCTCAATGATGCAGGAGATGACTAGTGAGTTGTCCTGTCGCACAGCTCCAGAAACTTTGGACTTCTAAAAACAAAATTGCAAAATAACGTTCACGTTGGCTCACCGGAATGTTTCGAAGTCCCCACGAATGACCTCCCTTGGGCGGTTTTGCATGAAAATCGCCGATGTTTACGTTAGTGAACAGAGGTTGCTCGCTGTCGCCCAAGAAATAGAAGCGATATTCTGCTTTCACGAGCACCTAAATAAAATAGCCAATGAAATTTCTTTTCAAAAACCAAACCTCCTTGTTTGGAACCGTTGCAGACATCTTGAGAAACAAAGAAACATTATCTTTATTCTCTTCCCGTTTGCCATTCGGATACAAGCATAGTTGCCAGCAAACATCCGGCATTTGTTGGTCACTAAATTACAAAACAGTTATACAAACTTCCAATTTACAATTACCGAAAAACTTGACTCCTAAAACATTGTCCCGGCCTAGAAAGCTTCAAAATCGTGTGAAAATTCTCAATCTAAAGATATTCAAGTTTAGCCATCAGAAAACAAGAAAACAAACCTTCCAAAGTTGTGTAAGCATCAGTGGTTCACAATATGTGACACACTCATTTAACTTCGATGACTTGTGTGAGCGTGACGTTGAAGGCAAAGCACCATCAGCTAAAATCGAAAAACATTAGAATAACCAATAAAAGTTTACCTGTTCCACTAACACTCATGGATTGATCACCCGACATGGTCTAAAAATCAATTATAGTCTTGTAGAAAAGGCTAGAAATAAAAGTACAGCAATATGAAAAAGTCAAAAGCATCAAACATCAAAGTATGTAATCGATAGATCATTTATAACACACGATTGTACTATAAATTGCTAGTGCGGACCTTTTAGCGGAGCTGAGAGCGTTTCACTGACCATATTAGTGGAAGAATCAATTGATCGACTTGAAGAATGGGGCAAAACGTAGTTTTAATAAAAAATCGGTGTCACTGTTGACGCAGCAACATCATTTTCACAATTTTTTCACCAACTATTCACAATTAATGCTACCTACCTAAGCCAAAATGGTCAATATCGAGGACGGCTACGGGGATCTACTGGGCGTCGCTGGGAAATTGACTGAAGATGTTAGTTTACGATATTTTATTACAAGAACCTATAAAAAAATCACTCGAACCAAAACGGCTCTTTTTTGCCATTTTTCAATCATTTTGTTCTAAGCCCTGGTTAATGCTAAAAATATGTGTTATATCTCAAAAAAAATTACCCATCCTCTCTACTTTAATTTTATACCCAAGCGCGCAGCAACAAATATCTGGACGCCGAGATATGAGCGTTTGTTTGAGTGCAAACTTAGACTACACGACGCTCCTATAGGGGGGTTTCTAATCGAATATTTACGGTACGTGTAATTTTTCCTAGAAGTTGCACTCTACTTTCTTGGTTTACTTGCTGATTTGTGCGCGTGCGTTAGATAGATTTACGCGTTAGCTTTAGCGTTTAAGCGTTAGATAGATTTACGTGATTGTAGGATAGCTTTTAACAGCTTTTGGGAGGTTTTAAATTTTTTTTGTTTTATTTTTATTACCTTAGTAATTTTTTAGAAAAAGTGAAAGGTAACTGAGCATGAGTTTCCTCGGCATAAAAAAACGGCATTAAGCGTAAACGCTAGCATGAATTTCCTCGACATGAAGGCATGAATTTTACTAGTTACCGTTAGACTTGCTTATCGATATTATCGATATAAACGGCAAGCTCATGTTTGCCCCGGTTTCTAGAACAGCTTCTAGAACAGTTTCTAGAACAGACCTGCAGATTGTTTCATTGAAAACCCAAGAATTTTGCAGGTGCAATTTAGAAAATACAGTAACAACCGGTTTAACTCCACAACATGAAAAAGAATAACCAAGTCATATAATACGAACCAAATCGAATGCTAACTTTTAGCCAAACAATTTTACGATAATTTAGACTGCAAGGGTGTCGTTTAGGAGCTACAGTAACCCCCGGTTTAACTCTACAACTTGTACCCCTTTAAACCCAATAAAAAGGCAATAACCGCACTATTCACGAGTTAATGCCTTTCACACACCCAACCGATCGACATTCATTCACCCGAAAAACCGAATCCACCTTTTAGGCGACAATTCTTTCCCCGCGAGACCCCGATAGCAAAAGAAAGCTCAGATGCGCCAAATTGGACGCAAGAATTGCCTCCAAAGCAGCATATACACAATTTTTGTTAAGAAATTTCAAACTATTCAATTATTCGATCACTTTATTGGCTTATATCTCAATCGCTATCATTTTTTTTACCCTTTTGCATTAAGGAATGTTAGCACAACACCCGGAGATGTATGACTAGAGAAGCTCTCGGCTTTTGTGTTATTGATCCTTTGTGCAAATTTTTGTTTTCTGCTTTATCGTGTTTAAATTCATTTCTACAGTACCCTCGGCTCTTTCCGGTTAACGGGGGGTAAAACGGATTAATGGGGGGTAAAAAGTTAACGGGGATTTTCATAATATTCAATCATTCGCCAGACTGTACTGTAGGATTTCAATTTTTGGTATTTACTAGGGAAGGTCAACTGGCTGAGCCGGCCAAATGCTATGCGACCTATACCATTCGGCGTAGAATTTTATGCTGATTCCGAATAAAGTCCGTTTTTGCTTATCGGCGACTAAATTTACAACAGTCTGGGTGAATTTAGTCTCGGACTATTGTGAATTTAGAACAAACAAGTGCCCCCATCCCCCCGTTACTATAGTAGATCCCCTTGTTTTTCTAGAAATTGCCACCAGTATTTTTTTTTACCCCCCTCCCCGTTAATCGGAAAGATCCGTACCCTCAAATAGTGTATTTTAATGGGGGGTGGGACAAATGCGACCTTTTTTTGCGTACCTGGACATTTGCGCACCTTTTTTTTGCTGGAAAAGGCCTTAGGAAAGGTCGTAGAGCTTCAAAAATGTTTTCATACAAGGGAATCGTATGCGTAGATTCCGAATTTCGACAAATCAGACCTCGCTGGCACGTCAAATTTGGACTAAAAGGCAAAAACTGCGGAAAAGCGTTCAGTTGCGTAGTTTTTGCCTTTTAGCCCAAATTTGACGTGTCAGCGAGGTCTGATTTGTCGAAATTCGGAATCTACGCATACGATTCCATTATATGGAAATATTTTCGAAGCTCTAAGGCCTTTTCCAGCAAAAAAAGGTCGCATTTGTCCCACCCCCGTTTTAATGTTCACAATTTTGATTTTATCCTAACTTTAGCTGTTCCTTGTAACTTTGGATCCGTACTTTGTGCTTAAACGTAAACATACTCTTTCCGGTGCACTTAATTCTTCATTTTCTCATGGCAACAAGTCTTTTCTCAAGAAAAATGAAGAATTCAGTGCCCCGGAAGAGATGTGTTTACAAAATTGAACACAAAGTACAACATAAGATCGCCTATAGGCCTATAGGCTGACTTTTCGTGGTGTACTTTGTGCCTAAAAGTAAACTTAAACGCACTCCGCCTGGCTTAACGAATTTTCTTTTTTGCACAAAGTAAACCTAGATAGGCTTATAGACTTTTTATCCAAGAATTTTTGTTAGATTTGATATTGATGTTAGATTTGATATTGATGCTAGTCTTGATATTGATGCTAGTCTTGATATTGATGCTAGTCTTGAGATTGATGCTAGTCTTGATATTGATATTAGCCTTGATATTGATATTAGCCTTGATATTGATATTAGCCTTGATATTGATATTAGCCTTGATATTGATATTAGCCTTGATATTGATATTAGCCTTGATATTGAATCCAGCAAAGTACCCCGAAAACAGGTGTAAATCAACTGTGACTTTTGCTAAAATCAAAGAAACTTATGAAATTCCAATAAAACCAGTGAAATATCGATCATTTTCAGTTCAATTTCCATGGTCACAATGGAGCCATTAACAGATGATGAATGGGATGATGCGGATATGGATGATTCAGATTTAGAAGAACTGCTCAAAAGGAAACAACAACTCGAACAACAATTGCAACAATGTAAGATAAATGCAATTTTTCGAGAAACAGAATTCAGGCGGTCAAAACGGTTTGGAGAACGGAGATGAGGATGAGAGTTTAAATGGGTGAGTTGTTGAAGTTCTAAGCCTTGTCCTGGATGAGTATTGAGCCAACAAGGCTGAAGGTTTTCAAAGATCTTCAAAGATGATACTCACAAGTGAAGAATGGGTCTCGTGGCCTTTTCCGATAAACCATTCGACACAGAATTTTACGCTGATTTCAATCATGTAAAAATTAGCTGCCAAATGGCGAGTAGTCACCGCCAAACTGGCATAAAAGGGTTCGAAGTCTTGACCCTCGGCTTGCTGTACAATGTGCTGTACAATGTGCTGTACAATGTGCTGTACAATGTGCTGTACAATGTGCTGTACAATGTGCTGTACAACCACTTAACCACTCGGCCACCGTTGAACGGTTTGTTTTGTAAAAAAGTTGGCTGAAAAGGAGAGGATTAGAAGGAGAGGCTTAAAAGGAGAGGCTGAAAACCTTTATGCCAGTTTGGCGGTGATTATTCGCCATTTGACAGCTAATTTTTATATCATTGGAATCAGCGTAAAATTCTACGTCGAATGGTTTATATGTCGCAGCCGCTAGTGATTTTCAGCCGCTAGTGATTCAATCACCATCGACTAGCCGCTAGTGATTCAATCACCATCGGCTAGTCGATGGTGATTGAAAGTTTTTTAACGAAACATTTGAAATGCAATGCAGATTTATCTCACATGCAAATAAAAAGGTTAATCGGACCAAATATTCTAGCACCTCAGGAGATTTGGCAACAGAAGTTCTGTTGCCAAATTCGAAAAATTATGTCATCGTATTGATGAGAAAATTTGTCAACACCATCGACTAGCTGATGGTGATTGAATCACTAGCGGCTAGCCGATGGTGATTCAATCACTAGCAGCTGAAAATCACTAGCAGCTGAAAATCACTAGCGGCTGAAAATCACTAGCGGCTGAAAATCACTAGCAGCTGAAAATCACGAGCGGCTGCGACATATGTATCATTGGGATCCAAAAATCCTTTCCTTGTCAGTATTGTCGGCTGAATGTCGGCAAGCCAAGACTTTGATATTCAAGCTTTTCTATTTTGCAATGATTTTATCTCGAAGTTCAGTGCATCTCGACAAACTCTCGAAAATGACGATGAGCCGGAGAAAAAAAGATTTCGATTGGAGGAAGAGTTACCCGAGACGCCGATCAAAGGTTTGACTCTTGTACTACTTGAATCTTGTACTCAGAACTACTTGTACTTGATATTTGACTTGACTATCGAGATAGCAATACCGTAAATACTGTAATTGGACCCCACCCCCTCGTACAGTCGCGTAGTTGCAAAAGTTTTTTAGTATTTCATTTTTTTCAAAGCACCCGTACTTTCAAAAAATGCGTCTTTGGTATCAAAAAATAGCTGAAATTGAAGGCTATTTTTTGATACCTAAGCGCGCATTGTAGCATAAACCAGTGTCGAGAAAAACTCGTTCAAAGCTAGACTACGCAACACTCCGCACCGTCATTATGGGGGTGGGGTACTAATACAGTATTTACGGTAAGTTCTTATCAAGACATCAATAGATACCGAGGCTACCTCGATACCGAGATCTCGATAAGCTTATCAATTATGATAAAACTTTAGTTGATTCTCCACCAAATCCTTTTACCTAAGGCTTATTTTGGGGTAATTCGATGCGCTGAATACTTTTGATCTCCCAAACCTGGGTTTTACGTTTTTTTTAACCCATTCGTGACGATTCGAGCCACCGGTGACCCGGAGCAAACCTGGGTTGGTAAAAACAATCATAACTTGAGCTACAGTGGATCATTTTTTGAGATCTTTATTGCAATCGATAGCTAGCAAAATACTGAAGAATGTTGGGGTTTTAGTTTTTCAAAAAGTTTCCAAGTTATTAATCAGGTTCGAGAAAGGAACCAGATCATCTAAAAACGACCGAATTTGTTAAAGATTTTGGAAAACTTATCGAGATATTGATATCGATAAGCTATTGAGATATCGATATCGTTAATATCGATATCGATAAGTTCTCGATAGTTTAAGTTACCTATGCAGGCTTGGATCGGCCTAGTCATCCCTGGAATTGGCTTGATCTGGACTAGACTGGAGCTGACCTAGTCTGGAGCTGACCTAGTCTGGACGGAACTGGCCTAGACTGCATTGATCTAGCTTGGTCTAGACCTGATCTGCATTGACTTGGCCTGATCCTAGTGCTTAGTCAATTGAGAAATCGAGCTCTTACCCAGCTTAACTTTTTCCAGAAGGCCGCCCAATCTCCGCATTAAGCGAGGATGCTGGAGCGAACAATAGCTTTTATTTTTCGACCCCTGATCAATCACATTCCGAATGGGAAATCCCGAACACACCAGCTCGATGTCCATACATGGTGAGTGGCTAAATGACTTTAGTAAGGCTTGAGTAAACTCAAAAACCTTCAGCACAACGTGACCCCGCCAAAATCGGAGGCTAACGAGTTGAACACAAGCGATGATTTCAATCCACTTGATTTACTCGAACAAGCTGTCGATGAGGAAGAATCGACGAAGACATTGTAAGTCGTAGATTCTATAGTATTCGATAGAGTTCTATAGAGTTCTATAGTGTTCTATAGTGTTCTATAGTGTTCTATAGTGTTCTATAGTACTTCTATAGTATTCTATAGATTGGCCCACTACCCTTGTACTATTTAATGCTTTACAGTGCTTTTCATTTCTCTGGCAGCGCATCGACTCGGAAATTTTTCTAAGTCCAAACTAAGATAAGCATGGCTTAGTCTTTCCGCCTGAGGTGACCACTTGGTAGGATCAACCAGATATGTGAACTAAGATAAGCATGGCTTAGTCTTTAACCCGAGCTAGCAATCTGGAAGGATCATTGAGCTATACGGAGCTATCATGCGTTTTCATATCTGGTTGATCCGAGCTTAAAGCATCCGGTTGCAAGGACGCGACTTTGAAACAGGGCTGCAAAACACGTTACCTATGCAGTCTATTCAATCGAAAATTAATCCAAAACGTAAACGGACCAGTTCTCGTCAAACCAGCTTTAAAAAAAGCATCCTTTCTGGTGCACTCATCATTTTTCAATTCAAATCCAAATTTGAATTCAAATACTAATTCAAATTCAAATACAAATACATTAAAAAGCTATGTTTAAATATCAGACAATGAGTATAAAATAGAAAAAAACAGCCTTTTCATGCTTAGGCCTAAGCCTGAGCCTGAGCCTGAGCTTGAGCCTGAGCCTGAGCCTGAGCCTGAGCCTGAGCCTGAGCCTGAGCCTGAGCCTTCGAAACAAATCTTCAAACTTCAGCCTAAAGCGTGTCCCCCTTTATCGTCCAAAAGATATCATCGAGCCATTGCCAACCGGTTGGAGAGAGATCACTCATGCATCCGGCCTATCCGTCTATTTGGTATCTCTAGATTTTACAGATGTACTTTTGAAAATTCGTAATTTCAGCACGCAGAAACAAGAGTCTGCACATTTTCTCGACCGTACTACCTTGGGAAAGGCTCTGTGAGACATCACGAGGTAAGGAACAATATTATTTACTATACTGTCAACTCTCGATCTCGACGAGACGAAAAATGTTGATTCGTTGATTCAACGATTCTAAAACGTGACTTAAATTTCTTGCTTAGCCCTAAATTTCTTGGTTACCTGAACGGCCAATGATTGCGTTTAGCTGGCAACTATGCAGAAAACAAGAAAGTGCTTCAGAATTTCAAAATCGTTGTATCGATGAGTCAAGAGTCAAGACAGAGTCAAGAGTCAAGAGTCAATAGTCAAGAGTCGACTGTATAAAAGACTGTCTATCCGTTTGTACACCTTCTTCTCACCTATCTTTAGCGGTAAATCACCGTTGATTCACCAATAGTCAAGCAATAAACAAGTCAAGCAATAGTTTAGTATCTCTGTTGAATAAAAGATATTCTGGATCTGAGAAAGCTGAATATTTCCTAACTTCTTGACTTCAGGTTCCCCTTTGTGCAATCCCGTGTTTGCACGAGCGCAAAGTGAACGACTTTTACGACAGAAAACGGGAAGAGGCAGCACAAGCGGGAAGCGCTCTGCCACTCGGTGATATTGATGTGCAGACGAAGGTGAGCTTTGACAGAAGACACTAGGTTGGAGTAATGAATCTACAGTAATCAATCTACAGTAATCGATTGATAGTAATCAATCTACAGTAATCAATCTACAGTAATCAACCTACAGTAATCGATTGATAGTAACCAATCTACGGTAATCGATCTACAGTAATCGACCAATAGTAATCGATCTATAGTAGCCAATCTACAGTAATGAACCAACAGTAACCAATCTACATCACTCAATCTAATCTAGCCCTTGATCTACCCTTGGTATAGTTGTTTGGTGTACGAGAATGGGTTAATACTGAATCAAAGTAGTACTAGATACATCGAATGACCTCCAAAACCCATTTTCAGGGCGAAGATTTCGGTCTGAACGTGCAACTTTCATCAAACGCCGTGTACGAGTACGCGAAAACGCTGTATCGCATAAAAATGGTGAAGATTCGAAAAAACTTCCGCCGATGGAGAGACCGAGCCGAGCATTCACGATCGCAAAAGTTGGCTTTTACTTGATGCCTTTTAATTGATGACTTTTAATTGATGCCTTTTACTTTGTAATATCTAAGTAGATTTATTGTATCTTTCAGAGAATTGGAAGATCAACGCCTTATCGCAGCGATCGATGATGGTGGAGATGATTCAGGTAGGCTTACCTCTATTCTATTGAATAAAAAACATAAACATTGAAGTCTTAAACAAAAATAAATGAATTAAATAATAATGATAAACGTTTTTTTCAGAAAAGATTCGCCGCTTTGTACTCCCGGACAGTGTTGTGATGTCAGCGCCACAGGGTTTAGCTCGAGCCGGAAAACCAGGACGCCAACGACGCATGGTTGTCGTGGTTTGTATCAAAATTACTATAGTTTCTAAATATTAGGTACATGCATAAGAAATGCGGATTTCAACATTTTCATAAATTTCCAACGATAGAAACCTGATATCGATGAATGTTATAAACTACTGGGTTGGTGAATTGAAAACTGCGGGCTATTGTCATATGTGACAGTTTGAGCACTTTCTTCAAAAGAAACCCATTTTGGTGTCAATGGAAAAAAGAGTGAAAAAATAAAACACGAAAAAAGACTGAAAAATTCTTTGTGGCGGGGTTCTTTTATTGCGTCGGGTTACGGTAGTTTCCGACGTTTGGCGCGGAAACGTCTGAAAGGCAAAGTGTACGGTAGACGGTCCGAAAGGCATCTGTCGTCAGAATTTTATTATTTCAAGAGAGAATTCCTTTAAATTGATTTAAAGTAAAATGAAATTAAACCCAATTTATTTAATTACTTTTTTAATTATTTATTATTTATTATTATTTTTAATTTATTGGGTTGGTGAATTGGAAACTGCCGGATATTGTCATATGTGACAGTTTGAGCACTTTCTTCAAAAGAAACCCATTTTCGTGTCAATGGAAAAGTTGTAGAGAATCAAAAATGAAGTTTATATCCAAATTTTCAGAACGATTCAAAAACTGGTTTTCAAGAAATGCCAAATTTACGAATTTTCACAAAACTTGGATTTTAGGGGAAACTACTAAGTGTATCTTTTTGGAAATTTGGCTATAAGCCTAATTTCTGATTCTCTACAACTTTTCTATTGACACCAAAATGGGTTTCTTTTGAAGAAAGTGCCCAAACTGGGACATCTCCAGTCCTCCATTTTTGAGTCTCACTTGTTTCACACACAAACCAAAATCCTACTACGAAAGAGGAATCCGCAAATTGCCTGTAAAATGGGCAGAAGTCGTCAATAATAATGGAAATTATTTGGAATGAATTGATGGTTTTATGTTGAATAAATTTTAGTTCAAGGTCCCGCAGTTTTCAATTCACCAACCCAATACTTTGATTTGAAACTTTCTGCTTACCAACTCTTTCGGAAAAGGCTTACCAACTCTTTAGGGAAAAACGGCGGTCAACATTTTGCACGATTACGCGTCCAAATTTCTGCGCGGAGCCAAGCTTGAATACATTGAGGATCAAACGAATCGGTAACAATTTGCATTTGATTTTATGAGACTTTCTTTTAGTTTATAAGATTTAAGAGAGCTTTTAGAACGAATTTAACAAATTTAGCACAATTTCCATTTCGTGAATTCGGCTTAAAATGCAAAAATGTTGACGAATTTCGATTTTCAGATCAGCCGCGGCTCCGTACCAAATTTCGGTTTATCTCAAAAAGTCGGCTGAAGTTCGACTGGCTCTAGCCGACAATATCAAAGAGAAATTGGATGTGCTGAGGCTGAGGGAGAATTTTCAGAATGGCGATGATCAAAGTTCGTTTTGCTACAGCATACAGATTTGCAAATCATTTGCAAATCAGTTGATTTGCCTTTTCAGCCGATTTGCCTTGATTTTTTTTGCTTGAAATGTCTTCAAGGCCAATCCCTCGTTACAAAGAGTACAAAGTACAAGGTACAAAATAGAGTACAAAGTACAAAACAGAGTACAAAGTGCAAAATAGAGTACAGAGTACGCTTGTATTGATATATACAACACTTTTAGATAAAGATCAACTTCTTGGTCGAGGTGTTGGCGCTTCGAAAAAAGAGGCAAAGCGATTAGCTGCTCAAGAAGCTGTCAAGGTCAGCTAACAGAAAATTCGATAAACAATTCGAAGCTAAACACGTTTTAAATTCGAATTCTCTTCATATTCCAGCTATTCTACTTCAACGCGCCGATTCGTTTCAATTCTGATGGAGTGGCGATTCTGGAGAACGAGGAGAAGAAGCACGAGATGATCGAACAAGCGGTAAAGCTCCTAAATCATTCTCCAACTTCATAAAGCATTCTCTAACGTTTCAGGCGGAAAACCTTTTTGATGACATTGCTTTGGATGATCCAAAGGTTTCTCTACTAGCTCCACAAGCCGCAATACCAACTCCTCTAGAGCTGCTAAAGGTAAGGCATACCAACTCCTCTAGAGCTGCAGTAAGCAGATGTTATGCTAGCTGTAGATCTATAGTAGGTTTACAAGAGTACTATTGATTAGTTAACAAGTACAGTGGTTAGTTAACAAGTAGTTAGGTAGTTAGTTAGTTAGGTAGTTAGTTAGTTAGTTAGGTAGCTAGTTAGTTAGTTAGGTAGTTAGTTAGTTAACAAGTAGTTAGTTAGTTAACAAGTACTTATTTAGCAGTAGTTAGCAAGTACAGTAGTGCTATAACCTTACTACTTAAACCCTTTTAACCAGGCCCTTGTTGCTGGCTCAAAAGTTCCTTAAAGCGACAGCCAGACTTGGATCTAGCTTTTGACTTGATTTTTTCTGGTTTAAACTGACCGGCTTGGCTACAAGTCAAGCTACATTAAAAGTCCTATAGCCAACATTAGACAAGTTAACTAATAGCTGATTTTCTTGCAGCTCATCCTGCAAAAAACCTCCAAATACGCGAATCTGAAATTGGAGTGGAAAGACGGGAAACGCTTCGGGAAATCGAAATTCCAAGTTTGCTTGAAGTTGGACACGTTTGAGGTGAGTAAATGCCCGAAATTGCTGTACTAGTACTAACTGTACTAGCTGTACTAGCTGTACTAGCTGTACTAGCTGTACTAGCTGTACTAGCTGTACTAGCTGTACTAGTACTAGCTGTACTAGTACTAGCTGTACTAGTACTAGCTGTACTAGTACTAGCTGTACTAGTACTAGCTGTACTAGTACTAGCTGTACTAGTACTAGCTGTACTAGTACTAGCTAGTAGAGCTGTACTAGCTCTACTAGCTGTAAATTGATACATTATGTAACTAGGGAACTGTTTCAACTTATCACCGATTTTCGAGATAGGACCTAGTTAGAAACCTATCTACCGTAACTACCATAGCTACCATGGTAGCTACGGTAGCTAGGTTTCTTCGTAGAATTCTAAGAAACACGTAGTTCTTATTTACCTAGAGATCTGCAAAAAGAAGCTAGTCCCGGGATTGAACCCTTGACCTCCAGACCAAGACACAAGGCTCTTAGCCACTCGGCCATGGCTGCCACGATGACCTCCCGCTTAACTCGGCTTTTAAAAGCCGAGGGCCTTTAAAAAGGAAAAACTTCATCATAAAAAAGCCGCGACCTCACCTTTAAGAGGGCGTCAAGGCGAAGGATACGAAAAGCAGCGGCGGCCTAGCGGATAGTGTACTAGGCTGCAAAACCATTGCTCGCGGGTTCAATTCCGCCTGCTGCCGAATTTCTCACTTTTTTTGGAAAACTTCCGAAAAGCACTTTATTACCAGCCGGGAAACCTGCCTAACGGCGGGTTTTTCTGGATGGGAAGAACGGCTTTTGTCGCCATGGCTCAGTGGATAGCGCGCCGGTCTATCGCCCATACGATTCGGGTTCGACCCCGCATACGACTCCGATTTTGCTTTTTAAAAAATCCAAAAGTACATTGCACAACTATATTGAATTCCCTATTCAACGGCGCAAAATTCATTGCAAACGGTGCTCTGGGAGCTGAGTGCTGAGCTGAGCTAGCGAACAAACAGACAGACAGACAGACAGACAGGCAAAGAGCCAGACGGACAGACAGATAGGCAAATAGACAGATAGACAGACAGGCAGATAGACGAACAGACAGACAGACAGAGAGACGTCTTAGTCCCTTTATAAATAGTAGCTAATGTTCTTAAGACAGAAACTTTGAACTTTCGTGGTAATTTGAAACAGTTCCCTGGTAAGAATTCAATATCCAATGTCAATCAATCTTGTCAATCAATCAATCAATCAATCCAATGCCAACCAATCAATCTTGTAGGTAAAGCAAGAAGCCGAGAAAAGACAAAGCGCCGAGCAATTGTGTGCCCAACATGCGCTAAAATATCTCCACCGGGACACTGAGGTTACATAATTCTAGTAAATTGACATAAAATAAAAGATCTCTAATCATTTATTGCCTATTTTATATGGCTTTTATGTAGGTTGTGCTGAAAAATGTCGAAAAATGCCTTTTGTTCTAGAAAGGATGCGTTTAGAAGTTTAGAAGTGAGCACAAAGTACACCTAAATACTCTCTTTTCAGATCACTTCCTATGGAGCGTTGTTAAAAATTTATGCTCAAGATCTCAAGCAGCAATATGAGGGAATAAAAGAGCAGAAAGAGGTCACGAAACTTCAAACAACTCAGGTGAATTGAGATTCTTGAAAAGAGATGATCTACTGGATGCAAAAGTGGAAAGGGGTGATTTACTGGGAGTACTTAGGCTCTTACCGTACTTGATAATCCTGATAGTACTGTATTTACAAGGGAAAGGCAACTGGCAACTGGCTGAGTCGGCTGGCAACTGGCAACTGGCTGAGTCGGCTGGCAACTGGCAACTGGCTGAGTCGGCTGGCAACTGGCAACTGGCTGAGTCGAATGCTATGCAATCTATACCATTCGACGCAGAATTTCATGCTGACTCTGAATTTATATTCCGTTTTTGCTTATCGATAACTAAATTCACAACAGTCCGGCTAATTTAATCTAGCCTGATGTGGGTTGGGCAAAGGTCTTTAACGTCGGAAACCTCTGCCCAACCCACATCAGGCCGCTAAGACCCTAGAAGAAGGCCGCTAAGACCCTGCAAGAAGGCCCCTAAGACCCTGCAAGAGGGCCGCTAAGACCCCAGCAGAAGGCCGCTGCTGGGGTCTTAGTCAGCAGAAGGCTGCAAGAACGCTAGGACCCAAATGACCACAGTCCTAACAAACTTTAAACGCTTTTAACTCCTGACAGATTGTCATTGAGCCAAGACGAAATATATATTCAGAATCAGCATGAAATTCTGCGTCGAATGGTATAGTTTGCATCGCATTCGGCTCAGCCAATTGACTTTCCCTTATTAGATGTACTAGGAGTACTGTATGCTGTACACTGTACATAGAACAGGACTGTCCATAGAACAGGACTGTCCATAGAACAGGACTGTCCATAGAACAGGACTGTCCATAGAACAGGACTGTCCATAGAACAGGACTGTCCATAGAACAGGACTGTCCATAGAACAGGACTGTCCATAGAACAGGACTGTCCATAGAACAGGACTGTCCATAGAACAGGACTGTCCATAGAACAGGACTGTCCATAGAACAGGACTGTCCATAGAACAGGACTGTCCATAGAACAGGACTGTCCATAGAACAGGACTGTCCATAGAACAGGACTGTCCATAGAACAGGACTGTCCATAGAACAGGACTGTCCATAGAACAGGACTGTCCATAGAACAGGACTGTCCATAGAACAGGACTGTCCATAGAACAGGACTGTCCATAGAACAGGACTGTCCATAGAACAGTACTGTACTTAAGACACTAATGATATTACTGTCAATAAATGCTATTGTACTTACAATTAGCTATCCTATAGTACATATTCTTGATTCTAATTCTTTTTCTAATTCTTTTATTAAGCATACTGTAGTTAAATAACAGATTCCAGTACTTTCTTGGAAATATCCAACTTTTAATTGCATCTAGAAATCCTCGGGCAACACGGCAGTCCTCTCGAAACTTTGCGAAGAGCTCAAAAAGCTCGAAGAGACAAAAATTCGACGCGATCATCCGTTGTGCTCTACAAAAACTCCGATTTTATTATAGATTTTCATTAAATCTTTAGATATTTTAGATTAAGATTTAATTATTATACCCTAAAGTCGCGAGTATAAGTTCTGTTTGGTTTTCGCATGCAAATTGACGGCTGTCTCCGGTGCGGTGTGTCGAGGGTTCGAACCCCGCTGCAGCATAACTTTTTTGCTTTTTAAGAACAATAATAGAAGTAAATTTATTGAGGATTATAGCAATTTTATGCTGTTATTTGTTGCTCCGGGCGTGGCTCGGCGCGTCCGCCCTGCTCCTCTCTAGTGCACAGTCTTATGGATCCCTCCCTGGCCTCTTCATGGCCCTCCCTGGCCTCTTCATGGCCCTCCCTGGCCTCTTCATGGCCCTCCCTGGCCTCTTCATCCAGCCAAAGTCCATGTCGACGGTCGAAAGAGATGCTTTCCAGCGTCTTCTTCAACACTATCGTCTGGACGTATCCATGCACGTAACAAATAGCAATGGTGATAGGCTGTCACCCTGTAGTATCCCGCGCTCCAAGAACAATAATAAAAGTTTATATAACAATAAAAATGTATAAAAACCCAACAAAAAGAAATTCAAAGCAATTAAAGCGAATGTAAATTAAGGCAGAACTTATACTCGGATCAACTTTATACTCGAGACTTTAGGGTAGATCTTTTTTTTATCTAGATCTTTGTTTTTTAAATCTTTGTTTTTTAAATCTTTGTTTTCTAGATCTTTATTTTCTAGATTTTTCCATTAATCGATCTAATCTCTTTCTTAACTTTTCCCCTCCATTAATCGATCTAATCTCTTTTCATTAATCATCGATCTAATCTCTTTTCTTAACTTTTCTCCTCCGGTGTGGCCTTTCAAGCCTTTCAATTCTTTTGTTGTGATCATTGTCAGTGTTTTTAGGCTTTATTTTATATTGTTCTTTTTTAGGTATATAAATTAATAAAACATCTAGCCTATAGATTACATTAAAGTCATTTTTTTTGACAAATGAACACCAGAAAATGCTTTAGTTAGACAATAAACGTACAGCAACGATCTCAAAATGCAATGATGACGTCATTTTTAGCATTTACACATTCCAAGACCCAAAACAGACACATGCTTTGTGCTTTAGTGTAAACAATCGTTCTCTGGCTCGGTTAGTGATCATTTCAATGAATTGGGATGTTTCAATTAGTCCCTGGAGGTTGGAAACTGGTCTAAACTGGTCTAAACCCAGATCCAAGCTTTGTTCTTGTTCAATGTGTAAGTTCTTTTGTGAGTTAGGCTTGCAGGCAGATATTCTAATCGATTTGGAAGCCAGGTTCAAGCTTGCCTTCTGAAAATCAGCCTTTGTAAAGCTCTGTCAAGCTTCGTAAAGCTCTGTCAAGCTTCGTAAAGCTCTGTCAAGCTTCGTAAAGCTCTGTCAAGCTTCGTAAAGCTCTGTCAAGCTTCGTAAAGCTCTGTCAAGCTTCGTAAAGCTCTGTCAAGCTTCGTAAAGCTCTGTCAAGCTTCGTAAAGCTCTGTCAAGCTTCGTAAAGCTCTGTCAAGCTTCGTAAAGCTCTGTCAAGCTTCGTAAAGCTCTGTCAAGCTTCGTAAAGCTCTGTCAAGCTTCGGTAAAAGCTCTGTCAAGCTTCGTAAAGCTCTGTCAAGCTTCGTAA